ATACAAATTTTAGATGAATAATATCTAAACTCTTAACAATCTATGTACAATGTGCAAAGATGTGGCCTGCCAAGACATTCTTCAATTTATGACAGGCCCTTACGGATCAGCCATCGAATATGCGGTTAAGAGAGAGAGCCGTAAACCGAAATTCTGGTCTTGTTCTGTTTAAAATGCTTTCTTGCATGCAAAGCAACCCAATGTGTACGACTTCAAATTTTCACCTGGCTAAGTCGATCGTGAGTGCACGAGCCAATAAAATATTAAATCCCAATAAAATGGTTCGAAATTCAGATTGTTGTATCTTTTAACCACATAATTCTAATTTCTCTCAAGGCCATGAGATTCATTAGGAACATTGAAAGTATTATTTTCAAACTCACCGTAAAATAGATGATTCTAGATTCTAGTATGTTTTAGAAATAAAGAACAAAAATCTATAAACACAAAAGGTCTAATTTGCAATTATTTTACTATCTAAAAGGAAAAGTATAGTTCAAGTCAATCTCAATTTGTTTTGTGAAATAGGGCTTTCTTCTATATATTCTTTGATTAAGGGTAAAAATATGAGAACTCGTGGATTTATTTGAAATTTCGTATTCCAAATGTACTTACACTAATTGGATTTTTTCCTAAAAGGAAATTATTAAACCTCTAGTCGGTTGATTACCTGTGGATATATATATACACACACAAACACAAGACAAAGACGAAAACAAAAACAAAAACTTAAGCCGAGGAAAGAAGCATGGAGATCAAAGTGAAGACTCTAACAGGAAAAGAAATAAGTATTGAAATCGATCCAATGGACACGATTGAAAAGATCAAGGAACGAGTTGAGGAGAAAGAAGGAATCCCACCTCCTCAACAAAGGCTCATCTACACTGGGAAACAACTTGCTGATGACCAAACCGCCAAACATTACAAAATCGAAGGCGGTTGTTCTCTTCATCTTGTTCTTGCTCTTAGAGGTGGTTTTTAGTTTTAACTACTAATTAACACGTTTAGGGCTAAACTAGGTTTCTTTTTCAAGTGTTTATGTCTATTGGTTTGTCCCTTCTTTCGTCTATATCTTTCTGTTTTTTTTTGGTTTTGTTAATGTTAATTAGGTGGGTTTTAAAATTTGCCTAGATTAATAAGAAAAGTAAACCCAGACATCATCCTTTTTGGTATGCTCTTCAATGATGTTAGTTGTCGACGCAGAAATAAAAGCCGATAATATTTGTTGTTGATCTCTTGAATCTTTTACCTTATTTAAACCCTAAAGCGATTCCTTATGATAATTAAAAAAAAACTTTAATATATAGAGATAACTATAGCAAAGAAAAAAAATTAGTGTTATTAAGCTGTACGTATATCGGATTCGGTTGGTTCTATAAAATTCTCAAATTGTCTAGCTGATGGTTGATTAGAAATCTTGGAACTCGAAAAGTGGTTACAATGCCCGGGGAAAAAAAAACTCGGTTAAAAACGTTACGTACAAAAGAAATCAAGTCTAATGATGATTACACATGCATTCTTTACATCTTGGGTAACGAAAAACGCTGCGACCATTAGGTCTAGCGAAGACATGTTTTGTCTGTCTAATCGCTTTTCTCACTCTCTTCTCAAACACATTCCACTCAATCGTATTGTTCTTCAACATTATGTCCGAAAGTCTCCGTTTGTTCGGTCTTATCGTCGGCATTTTTCCTTCTCCGTAGTAAATCCGATACCCGGACACAAGCGACGACAGCTGACTCCCTGAATCCGTCATCGCAAAAGCGTTTGCCGCAGCACAACCGATGAAATCTAATGCCGCTAGCTACATATATATATACACCAAAGTCTTAAAAGGATCATATAGAGGCGAATCGAATCGTTTTGTTTTTGTTTTTTACCTGAGATGAGAAGTTCTTGAAAGGTTGTAGCTCGGTTTCAGATAGTAACTTCTCTTTGGTGACAAGATTCGGGTATAAACTTGTTAACACATCTAAACGTTTTGATCCTCCGTATATATTAGCGCCAGCTACAAAAACACGTGTCTTGCGGTTGAAGCCAAGAGCTGCGAGCATGAGCACGGCTTCTTCCGGTGTTAGTGGACAAAGTCCTTCCGTCCTCAAAGTATCAGGAGATGGGAATCTGAAAAAGAGAGCATTTTAGGTTTAGAATCCCAAAAGATTAAGGAAGAAGAAACTCTAGTTTGGAAAAAAAATAAAGAAGAACAAACTTTTTTGTTTTGGTCAGAAACGAGAGAGACGGGAAGTGTTTTTGTCGGTAAGTATCCAACTCTCTCTGTTCCGTTTCTCCTCCACCAAAGTAACAGAGAGAGTGAGCCACCATGTCGATTTCAAAACGTAAATGGAGAGCCAGATACTTGGAATTAGAAGAAGAAGAAGAAGATGCCTTCTTCTGCACGGAAGGATCAAACTTCTTGTCCAAGATTAAGGATTTTTGACCGAAGAGAGGCTGATCAAGTGGTCCAAGGTAAGATTCACTGTTCCTTAATCTTCTCACAAGCAACGCACCTGTTTCTTGTATGCTTGGAATGAAGTTTAGCGCATGGAAATTACATCTGCACCGAAGCCTCTACTTCCAAAACAGTTTAGGTCAAAGAAAGCTAAACAAAGATCCAAAATGGGAGAGGATTAGAGAGGAAATGTCTACCTGTAACTTAAATGGTATTGGATCAAAGGCTAAGCGGTTTCCGAATCCAACGAAATGGATTACTCTGTTCTTGAGTAGTATAGGAAGAATGCGTTCCTTATAGAATTCTGGTTTAGCTTCTTTCATCACATCCGTGTCCGTAACCTTAAGAGATATAAAGTGTCAAACATGAACAAAAAAAAGAAAGAAAGATGAGATTTGTGTGCATTATATTAAGATCCGGTTTTGAAAGTAAACTCACAACGCTGCCGATTGCTTCAAGATCCAAAGATTGAAGCTCTTCTGGTAGTTCCTTAACTATCCGAATATCGGGGGATAAATACTTAATAAAATGTTCTTCTTGATAAATATCTCCGAACTGACTATGAAGTATCATCAAAGTTCAACACACCGTTACAAATGCAAAGTTCAAAAATTTTGTCATAAATGGTCACTCAAAAACGGTTAGAGACTGAGAGAGAGGACGAGGAGCTTACAATAGTTACCTTGCATCTGTCCAAACATCGCTTAGCATGAATTTGGGGATGACGAGAGCCGCATTGAGCAACCGAGCTACAACAACGATGTTACATACCTGTTTAACAAAATTCTACTGTTAAATAGTCAATAGATAAATTTCAAAGATTAAAGTAGAAGGAAACTTACAGCAACTCTTTGTTGATTAATCCCTCCATTTGCAGTAACCATGATATATCCATTTTTGCCATCTAAAAATCAGGAAAAAAAAACGTTATAGGAAACAAGCTGTAATCAATCTTATTTCAAAGATAGAGATACGGAGATACCCTTGGGAGCCCAAGAACGTTGATCGGCACAAGGCTTCCAAGCCAAAGCTTGTACCTTTGGCTCCTGCCATAAGTCTTTTGGCTCAAGTTTTTCCTGCTCCAACCAAACAAACAATATTAGAAATCAGAGTAACAAAACAATGTTACGGATAAGAGATGGGTTTTGAAGATATACAACTTACTTTTGCCAAAGCCTGAGCAGCCAAACCCAACATTCTATCATATGTTCTGTTATATTTCCTCTTTGGTTTTCCAGACTTTTTACGCTCTTCATTCTAATCCAAATAACACGTTTAGGTCAGTGTAACTTTCATCACAAGCAAAGTACTATTTCTTAATCCACAACTCCCTCATTAGAATTAGAATCATTACCACACTATAACATTTAATATTTTATTGTACTAAGATTCCCTTTCACTTAATTTCTCTGTTAAAAGCTAAAATCATTTTTCTTTGTATCGTGGTATGTGAAAATGAGTGTAACGCAAGAAATGTAAGAAATTATGGAACATGTGCAGTTTACAGATTACAATCATTAACCTGTGCATGAACCCGTTTCAGGTTTAGGTTAGGGTTCTTAGGGAATCCTTTATGAAGCCAAAGTCGAGCGTCGTGAAGCCGAGAGAGCATTAACCAATTAACGAGGAAGAAGAAACCTAGAATCAAGACTACGCCAATGGCCGCTTTACCCATCCTTGTCTCGTACCAAGCTCTGGTTAATCTCTTCCTCTTCCCTCGCTTGGTCGTTTGTTTCGGATTCGAAGATCCGGCGAATGCAGAGAATCTGGTCGGGCCGAGACGCGGTGGACCTCTGTAGACACGAAGATCACGTGACTCGGGTCTCTCTTCGTCAGGTCTTTCATGTCCCATAATTAACAAAAGTCCCCTCCTTTTCTCTTTCTCTCTCCTCTTGTCTGGACAAAAGGAGAGAGAAATGAGAGAGACTAAACCACAGGATGTAAGAAGATATTGCCGTAAATAAGAGCACGCGCGAATGCTTTGCCGAATTTAACGAAGCTACTGAGAGAGAGAGATTGTCTGAATTTTGTTATTTCTTCGTTTGAAATTCGAACATCAGTAATAATTTAATTATTCGTTTTAGACCAAGCTTTCCCTATAGTTAAGCTAATTACAAAAACAACACCTTTGGTGATATCGATTATATATTTATAACTTCAATATTTTTACGATGCGCTCTTAAATTATTTAGAAGGCGTTCAGCGTTCTGTTAGATTTGAAAGTGAATAAACAAAGCAACCTACAGTATAGTTTCATTTGAAAACGAGTTAGTTAGATTTATAGGACACTGATAACCGTTTCATGATTCTATTAGCTTATGATATTCCTAATAGAAAATCTAGTAATTATCGTCACTCCGACTTCAGAACTTTGTATTAAATTTAGAATCTGTCATCACTCGTACTATAATTATATATATTGTCGAAGAAAAACACGAGCAACTCAAACAGAGATGGAACGGAGACGGAGGGGTTCAAGATAATTCGAAGCAAAGCAGAAACGCAACAAGGCATTAAAAAAAAAGAGAGCAGTGATTAATCCTTATCGAGACTATTGAGCTCCGAGTTCGAGAAGTAGGGTGTGGCTGAGAGAGTCTGAGCCAGGTCCCGTGAACTGGATCGGACCTGCGAGTCGATAACATTTCCGATAAGAATCTGAAAAAAACAGATGTTATGTTCAAAACAAAGATTGTGTGTAACAAACCTGGGCTGATGTATCTGTTCTTCAATGCCCATTCCTCACGCAGCGATGCAAATTTCTTAAATGGAGCACCTGCAGATTCCAAAAATTCACTTAGCAAGTCCATTTTACCGCTGCATCAAAAACTATAAGAAGAGAAGGGAATCAAATGGTCACCTTCAAGTTCCACCATTGCTTTCTTGATCACAGGCTTGAACTTACCTGCAAGTTGAAATCAACTCATGTTTTTTAATATCTCAGATTTACTAAGCAATCATAAAACAAAAGTGTCTTCGTANTAGGAGACTTTTATCTATGAGTAAAGAAGCTGATTAAGCTACTTTTATTTAAACTTTGCAATCGGTATGTTATATCTACCACCACCAATCATCGTCCCTTCTCTTTTTTTACCTTGCGTGTTCGTTTTTTTTAACTGACTTTTCAAACTTCTTTATCAAATCGTACAATAGAACATGTTATATTGCCATTATGAATACAATAGTCTATAGTTGCCTACCCCCTGAAGGAGAAAGGTTCGAAAGTAAGAGTGCATATTTATTCATCGTTTTGCCTCCAGGACGTGAAAAGATACAAATTTTAGATGAATAATATCTAAACTCTTAACAATCTATGTACAATGTGCAAAGATGTGGCCTGCCAAGACATTCTTCAATTTATGACAGGCCCTTACGGATCAGCCATCGAATATGCGGTTAAGAGAGAGAGCCGTAAACCGAAATTCTGGTCTTGTTCTGTTTAAAATGCTTTCTTGCATGCAAAGCAACCCAATGTGTACGACTTCAAATTTTCACCTGGCTAAGTCGATCGTGAGTGCACGAGCCAATAAAATATTAAATCCCAATAAAATGGTTCGAAATTCAGATTGTTGTATCTTTTAACCACATAATTCTAATTTCTCTCAAGGCCATGAGATTCATTAGGAACATTGAAAGTATTATTTTCAAACTCACCGTAAAATAGATGATTCTAGATTCTAGTATGTTTTAGAAATAAAGAACAAAAATCTATAAACACAAAAGGTCTAATTTGCAATTATTTTACTATCTAAAAGGAAAAGTATAGTTCAAGTCAATCTCAATTTGTTTTGTGAAATAGGGCTTTCTTCTATATATTCTTTGATTAAGGGTAAAAATATGAGAACTCGTGGATTTATTTGAAATTTCGTATTCCAAATGTACTTACACTAATTGGATTTTTTCCTAAAAGGAAATTATTAAACCTCTAGTCGGTTGATTACCTGTGGATATATATATACACACACAAACACAAGACAAAGACGAAAACAAAAACAAAAACTTAAGCCGAGGAAAGAAGCATGGAGATCAAAGTGAAGACTCTAACAGGAAAAGAAATAAGTATTGAAATCGATCCAATGGACACGATTGAAAAGATCAAGGAACGAGTTGAGGAGAAAGAAGGAATCCCACCTCCTCAACAAAGGCTCATCTACACTGGGAAACAACTTGCTGATGACCAAACCGCCAAACATTACAAAATCGAAGGCGGTTGTTCTCTTCATCTTGTTCTTGCTCTTAGAGGTGGTTTTTAGTTTTAACTACTAATTAACACGTTTAGGGCTAAACTAGGTTTCTTTTTCAAGTGTTTATGTCTATTGGTTTGTCCCTTCTTTCGTCTATATCTTTCTGTTTTTTTTTGGTTTTGTTAATGTTAATTAGGTGGGTTTTAAAATTTGCCTAGATTAATAAGAAAAGTAAACCCAGACATCATCCTTTTTGGTATGCTCTTCAATGATGTTAGTTGTCGACGCAGAAATAAAAGCCGATAATATTTGTTGTTGATCTCTTGAATCTTTTACCTTATTTAAACCCTAAAGCGATTCCTTATGATAATTAAAAAAAAACTTTAATATATAGAGATAACTATAGCAAAGAAAAAAAATTAGTGTTATTAAGCTGTACGTATATCGGATTCGGTTGGTTCTATAAAATTCTCAAATTGTCTAGCTGATGGTTGATTAGAAATCTTGGAACTCGAAAAGTGGTTACAATGCCCGGGGAAAAAAAAACTCGGTTAAAAACGTTACGTACAAAAGAAATCAAGTCTAATGATGATTACACATGCATTCTTTACATCTTGGGTAACGAAAAACGCTGCGACCATTAGGTCTAGCGAAGACATGTTTTGTCTGTCTAATCGCTTTTCTCACTCTCTTCTCAAACACATTCCACTCAATCGTATTGTTCTTCAACATTATGTCCGAAAGTCTCCGTTTGTTCGGTCTTATCGTCGGCATTTTTCCTTCTCCGTAGTAAATCCGATACCCGGACACAAGCGACGACAGCTGACTCCCTGAATCCGTCATCGCAAAAGCGTTTGCCGCAGCACAACCGATGAAATCTAATGCCGCTAGCTACATATATATATACACCAAAGTCTTAAAAGGATCATATAGAGGCGAATCGAATCGTTTTGTTTTTGTTTTTTACCTGAGATGAGAAGTTCTTGAAAGGTTGTAGCTCGGTTTCAGATAGTAACTTCTCTTTGGTGACAAGATTCGGGTATAAACTTGTTAACACATCTAAACGTTTTGATCCTCCGTATATATTAGCGCCAGCTACAAAAACACGTGTCTTGCGGTTGAAGCCAAGAGCTGCGAGCATGAGCACGGCTTCTTCCGGTGTTAGTGGACAAAGTCCTTCCGTCCTCAAAGTATCAGGAGATGGGAATCTGAAAAAGAGAGCATTTTAGGTTTAGAATCCCAAAAGATTAAGGAAGAAGAAACTCTAGTTTGGAAAAAAAATAAAGAAGAACAAACTTTTTTGTTTTGGTCAGAAACGAGAGAGACGGGAAGTGTTTTTGTCGGTAAGTATCCAACTCTCTCTGTTCCGTTTCTCCTCCACCAAAGTAACAGAGAGAGTGAGCCACCATGTCGATTTCAAAACGTAAATGGAGAGCCAGATACTTGGAATTAGAAGAAGAAGAAGAAGATGCCTTCTTCTGCACGGAAGGATCAAACTTCTTGTCCAAGATTAAGGATTTTTGACCGAAGAGAGGCTGATCAAGTGGTCCAAGGTAAGATTCACTGTTCCTTAATCTTCTCACAAGCAACGCACCTGTTTCTTGTATGCTTGGAATGAAGTTTAGCGCATGGAAATTACATCTGCACCGAAGCCTCTACTTCCAAAACAGTTTAGGTCAAAGAAAGCTAAACAAAGATCCAAAATGGGAGAGGATTAGAGAGGAAATGTCTACCTGTAACTTAAATGGTATTGGATCAAAGGCTAAGCGGTTTCCGAATCCAACGAAATGGATTACTCTGTTCTTGAGTAGTATAGGAAGAATGCGTTCCTTATAGAATTCTGGTTTAGCTTCTTTCATCACATCCGTGTCCGTAACCTTAAGAGATATAAAGTGTCAAACATGAACAAAAAAAAGAAAGAAAGATGAGATTTGTGTGCATTATATTAAGATCCGGTTTTGAAAGTAAACTCACAACGCTGCCGATTGCTTCAAGATCCAAAGATTGAAGCTCTTCTGGTAGTTCCTTAACTATCCGAATATCGGGGGATAAATACTTAATAAAATGTTCTTCTTGATAAATATCTCCGAACTGACTATGAAGTATCATCAAAGTTCAACACACCGTTACAAATGCAAAGTTCAAAAATTTTGTCATAAATGGTCACTCAAAAACGGTTAGAGACTGAGAGAGAGGACGAGGAGCTTACAATAGTTACCTTGCATCTGTCCAAACATCGCTTAGCATGAATTTGGGGATGACGAGAGCCGCATTGAGCAACCGAGCTACAACAACGATGTTACATACCTGTTTAACAAAATTCTACTGTTAAATAGTCAATAGATAAATTTCAAAGATTAAAGTAGAAGGAAACTTACAGCAACTCTTTGTTGATTAATCCCTCCATTTGCAGTAACCATGATATATCCATTTTTGCCATCTAAAAATCAGGAAAAAAAAACGTTATAGGAAACAAGCTGTAATCAATCTTATTTCAAAGATAGAGATACGGAGATACCCTTGGGAGCCCAAGAACGTTGATCGGCACAAGGCTTCCAAGCCAAAGCTTGTACCTTTGGCTCCTGCCATAAGTCTTTTGGCTCAAGTTTTTCCTGCTCCAACCAAACAAACAATATTAGAAATCAGAGTAACAAAACAATGTTACGGATAAGAGATGGGTTTTGAAGATATACAACTTACTTTTGCCAAAGCCTGAGCAGCCAAACCCAACATTCTATCATATGTTCTGTTATATTTCCTCTTTGGTTTTCCAGACTTTTTACGCTCTTCATTCTAATCCAAATAACACGTTTAGGTCAGTGTAACTTTCATCACAAGCAAAGTACTATTTCTTAATCCACAACTCCCTCATTAGAATTAGAATCATTACCACACTATAACATTTAATATTTTATTGTACTAAGATTCCCTTTCACTTAATTTCTCTGTTAAAAGCTAAAATCATTTTTCTTTGTATCGTGGTATGTGAAAATGAGTGTAACGCAAGAAATGTAAGAAATTATGGAACATGTGCAGTTTACAGATTACAATCATTAACCTGTGCATGAACCCGTTTCAGGTTTAGGTTAGGGTTCTTAGGGAATCCTTTATGAAGCCAAAGTCGAGCGTCGTGAAGCCGAGAGAGCATTAACCAATTAACGAGGAAGAAGAAACCTAGAATCAAGACTACGCCAATGGCCGCTTTACCCATCCTTGTCTCGTACCAAGCTCTGGTTAATCTCTTCCTCTTCCCTCGCTTGGTCGTTTGTTTCGGATTCGAAGATCCGGCGAATGCAGAGAATCTGGTCGGGCCGAGACGCGGTGGACCTCTGTAGACACGAAGATCACGTGACTCGGGTCTCTCTTCGTCAGGTCTTTCATGTCCCATAATTAACAAAAGTCCCCTCCTTTTCTCTTTCTCTCTCCTCTTGTCTGGACAAAAGGAGAGAGAAATGAGAGAGACTAAACCACAGGATGTAAGAAGATATTGCCGTAAATAAGAGCACGCGCGAATGCTTTGCCGAATTTAACGAAGCTACTGAGAGAGAGAGATTGTCTGAATTTTGTTATTTCTTCGTTTGAAATTCGAACATCAGTAATAATTTAATTATTCGTTTTAGACCAAGCTTTCCCTATAGTTAAGCTAATTACAAAAACAACACCTTTGGTGATATCGATTATATATTTATAACTTCAATATTTTTACGATGCGCTCTTAAATTATTTAGAAGGCGTTCAGCGTTCTGTTAGATTTGAAAGTGAATAAACAAAGCAACCTACAGTATAGTTTCATTTGAAAACGAGTTAGTTAGATTTATAGGACACTGATAACCGTTTCATGATTCTATTAGCTTATGATATTCCTAATAGAAAATCTAGTAATTATCGTC